GCAGAAAAAACAAAACAATATTACTTAATATATCCCTTCTTTTCTCAAATATAGCCTCCTGGAGGAATCACCTGGGCTGTGAGTTTCTATTCAATTATTTTATTATTTATTTTACAAATAAATTTACAAGAGCCTTACGACGCGTTCTCCCCTACAACTTTTTACTCCTCGCTTTCTAGGCTACTCTAATCTATCCCACCACTCGATGATTCAGGCAATGTTAATCAAATAAGCACAACTGTGCAACAACAGTGTAGAGAGGGCTGAAACATCGGTACAGCACCTGTAGTGCACACTATAATACATTGTTATGCCTTAACTATTAACGCCATTGTAACTTAATATTAACTAATAATATATTGATAAAACATATTTTATCGCTAACGTAACCATTATTTATTTTAACCCTTGCTTTAGCAGCTACTTATTAAACGACAGATAATATAAAAATCCTTCTGTAGAACACTGCCTGGATGGCATTAAGAAATTAACTGATCTGGACATACTACATTGTGTACGTTTTAAAGACTACACAATCCACGTGAAATATTAGGCGCCAATTCTCTCACTAGCCAGTATATATTACAAATACCAATAACCGATCGATGTTATTGTGTTTATAACGAGACCAAATTAACTTCATGCACCGCATTTACTACATTTAAGAATGTATATTACGTCCGTGTGCTGGTTGTAACACTACATCACATGCCCGTCATTAGTAAAGCGAGACAATATACTGTAACCTTTGATATCTGACATCTGACATAGGTCACAAAACCTATTCATTTTTGCTGTATATTTCAACCATTTGTATTAAACGTTACAGTAAAATTGAAGCAAATGTATCCTACCTTATACTTGTAGTTGTAGGTGAGATTAATTTCTTGTGGGTAAAGATTACAAACGACAAAACTATTTGCAATCTGTCACTGCTCCTAGTTTCATTCTTTCACTTTCGCTGCTCAGTCACCACCGCGGTGCTTCATGGGATCCAAAACACAGCGAGCGACGAATTGCACTTCCTGTCCGGAGAGTATAATCATCCTTTTCCAAGCCCTCATTTTTATATATGAAGCGTGAAATATACACATACGTGTTTTAAAATATTTTAAAAGTATTGTTTTACAATGTCCTACAATATTCATGCGCTCCTCGGCTCTGACAATATTTTGTTCTGTGTTCCCGCCGACCTTGAATTTGATGAGAGGAATAAAAAGTCCCATTTAGTCTTGTGTGTTATATACATATATGTGGACTCGGCTGACCTTTTAATACAACATTTTTATTGCTGTTTTTTTTTTGTAAAGATACAGAGGTATTCTACGTGCTATATCAAACGTAAAAAACAATTACCATACAGTATGATTGTATATTACTAATCGTGGCTATTAGGAATAATTTATTTGTACATTACATGAGCTTCATAGCTGTTTCACTACAGTTTTACATGAAGAAAGATTGTGTCGCTGTTGTAATACAATAGTACTATATTACTGTGACAGCTCTTGAATGCAGTATCCGTAGCCGGTGCGGATTTTAATATAATCGGAGGATGCTCCGCCTTTAAAGGAGGACTTTCGATTACGTATTTTAAAAATCTTGATTACGACAGGACGGAGATGAAAACAAAGTGTTCATAAACAAGCCAAAGCCTAGATCTGTCTGAAGAAAACAAGTATAGTAAAGTCGTCGTGGAGCACTGATCTGAAACAATCTTTTTATCATCTTTTCAGGTACTGGAACGGGTGAAAATACGGTGATTGATATGTCTGTTTCAGAGGTATACCGCTATGTGTAAATGTTAAGTATGATTTTTATTTTTATCAAACGTCTGTACAACAACGGCTACATGTTTCCTGCAGATGTTACGCACATCAGTGCATGCACATTACTTGCAGTGATTGAAAAATGGATAATGTGAACGTGAATTCAAACAAATGAGTTTATTTTGGTCCAGATCTGTTGTAAAAGGTAATTTGTAATATTCTGGAATACGTTTATGATTGCAATATTCGGTGATGTATGCCAGCAGACAGGCAATGGAGTCCGCATATACATAGATAGTTAATAGTCTTTTCCTGTCCCAAAAGTGACAGTAGCAGCTGCCCCTGTAAAACACATCAGCTCGTCGTAGCTAGTAACATACCCGGGCAAACGCGAAATGTAATCTGCCTGAATTAAGTATATGCTATGCATTGAAAATATAACAAGATGAAACAGAAAAAAAAAACAAAATAGTTAATTGTGCATCCCGGAAACTGTGCTGATGATGAGCTGTCTGGTGTAGACATTTCGTGTAGACAGGACGTTTGCTGACAAATATGTGCTTAAGAATAGATGGCATTCTACCCTCGTTTCTATCGGGAAAATCTATGCGTGGGAAAGGCAGTAACCTCTAACAGACCTTTAAAGACTTGCAGTCTTTCATTTTAATAAGAAGAGAAATGTTTTTGTAAATAGTAATTTGGGGGAAAAACGTATTTAATGAGGAGTTTTTATTTCGGTTGTTGGTGCTGTCGGCCAGTATATAGGAACGTTTCCAAATGCTCCGCTTGTAACTGGTTCAGGCTGTCAACAATAACTGTATTTTTTGTGGAAAGTGGGGAAAAGCAAGCATTGAGTAATTCTGACGAAAAAAAGTACTGAACACATTAGGAAAAGTTATTTTATGAAAAGTGCGATGAAATCGAAGACCAAGTCTTGTAATCTCATTTAATTACTGTGAAGACTTATTCAGATTCACAGGATTTTGTTACCAAGAATACTAAATCTTGTACATTCTCTTACTTCATTATTTGACACCTGTTTACGTGAAGGGGTATATATAACTTTATTCCTTAATGGTATGTACAATTCCTGTATTAAACATGAAGTGTTTATATGCAATACATCTTTATGTACCTAGATCCAGAGAAAAGCAGAAAGAATACATAGATAATGAATCAGCTGAGATAAATGGGCCCACTGTAAACCTATAATTCCAGCATGATGTATTTTAGTTTTTTAACCTAATTTTGTATTGTAATATATGAAATCAAGTACAGAGGTGAATCTGAAAAAAAAAACAGTGAAGCAAAATTAGTGGATAAATTGCCTAATGAATTTACACATGAGTTTTTTT